GGCAATTTTTTAGTTGTCCCAACAAGCAAGTAAATATATAAGAAAAAACAAATGCATGTATAACATGGGTGTGCGTGTGTGTGTGTGTGTGTGTGTGTGTGTACATGTGTATGTACTTACTATAAGCGTTTATTTATACCAGTACTCTTAACATACAGATACGTAAGTGATAGCTTATCACTAGATGCCTGTTCTGACTGATGCTGAGCCAGTCCAGGAAGAGCCTTTCAAGCACCAGCCCATGCTCTGGTGTCAGCTGGATATTGCAAACACTCAAGACTTTTAGGGTTGCCTAAACTTATTTGAATTTTCTCTCTTTAAGTATTTTCTCTTCATATAAATACTGCTCAGTCATACTGACATGCTCTTGAGCTCATGCAGTAACTATAATTCCTCGCTTAAGGTAACACAAGAAAAATGGGGATTTGAACAGGTGCCCTGCTTTTCAAACTAGTTAAGATCTTGGGGAGAGACTTCTTGATCAGTTTCCACTCTTTCTGACATAAAAGGACTGTGATGAATGGAGAGATGATATTATAAATCTGAAGTGCTCTGCAGGTATTCTGATTTGGGTACTTCAGAGTGAAGCATCACAGAAGTCCACATGCACCAGCTTTGGAGATATGCATTGGGTGCCTCAGCCTCCCCTCAGGTGCAGTAATGAAACCAGTGTGCTCAGCAGGTTGAGGGCTCTGTGTGGAACTGGCCCTGCTTCTTGATTCAGCCGTGCTGAAGTCCTTTGAGAGCCTAGCCCTCCAGATGGATGAATTTGGTGTGACACCATCAGTTTATTGCAAAGCAGTGACCCTGATCCCAGCCTCCTCACCTTAAATCTTCTGCACTACTGAGCTGTCTTTCTGTCCTTAATAATGGTTTTGATTGACAGGTAGATTATTGCAGGAAAACATTTTTCTTTCTTTGTTGCAGGTTGCGTCAGATACCTCTTCATTTGCTGAAGTATCCTGTTCAGGCAGTACACGCCATGTTGGCTGGCTTTAAGCCTTCATTATGTGATACAAGTGTAGAAAGAATTCCTTACTGCCCAGAATGGAGTGTGAAAGCATTGTGGACTATGATGGACTCTGCAGAAGGAAAACAGCTCTCTGCTTCCATTCTTGTGAGAAGCATTGTTATTTCTCTGCACACTTTTTCAGCCTAAAATCCTTTCTAGCAATCTCAGCGTAATTTCGGTTCGTTCTGCTACGGACCCTCATTGTTTAAAATTGTGAACCATTTACTATGAAGGAGTTGCTGTTGAGGAGAGAAAATCATGTGGCTCTTTGCTTTTTCTTAGAATCAAGATGCTTCTGAGCATCCCTTTTCTTTAAAAAGCAGTTTCCTTTCCTTAACAACAGAAATGCTCCATGCATGCATGGAACTGCGAATAGAGCCAGTGAAGTCATTGTTAGTATTGATTAGCTTGGAGAGAAGGGCTTATTATCCCAGCACTGAATAATGTCACCTTCTGATTTTCAGTCGCTTTTACCAGAGCTCACGATTTTCCTGTATGGCGAAGAACAAAAACTGGTTCATATGAAGCTGATAGAAATGGGACTTGCAGATTTGGACGAATGAAATGTAAGTACAGTGAATAAGAATTACAGATTTGTAGTAGGGCATTATTTCAAAAACTTCAAGCCAAGGTCTAAATTGCCATCTAATGTGAATTGACCACAAGTAAATTACATGTATTCTAAAAAAAAAAAAACAAAAAACAACAAAAAAAAACTCTTCTGTCCCCACTTCTCTAATAAAAAGCTGTTTAAAAGTGGGAATTACTTAAATATTATTGAAGCCCACATAATAGCTGTAAGAAACAACAGTTAGTTGAAGTGTTAATATAACAGGAAGAACTCCTCCTGCTACTCAATGAAGAAGGTAACTTGCAGGTGAGCAGCAGTATCCTCTTCCCAAGTAATTTTAATTATTCTTCATTTTCAGCATTTGTTCTCGATGTCTGTGCCAGTGGTTCTCAGACTGTGTTCTCATCTGTGATTGTTTATGAATGTCCATGCAGTCAAACATGAAACACAGCAAGGAGAAGCTTTACAGTATGCATTGTCTACAGAGATGCTGAAGGACTGCTTTGTTCTGGTTTTTGGAGGGGTGGTTGGTTTTTATTTTTAACCAACTCAGTATTGCTTTTCCCTCCCATTTCTGAGCACTCTTTTTATCTGTTTGTCTTCTCTGGTTCTGAATCTTGAAAGAAGTGAACTTACTCTAAACCACTTTTGACCTTAAAGCCTTTAGTATTGTTTTATCAACTGTTTTTGTGAAAACAGATGGAATGAGTGTGAAGTAGTGAAGAAATAGATACAGAAGTAATGTTGGGCACCACTGTTCATTGTAATAGGTGAAGGGATGATGATACTGTGGTATAACTAGTTTATATTTCAGGCATATTTGATGACAGTGCTGTAGTACTGGAACTAGGAATGAACAGGTGGGAGAGGGCGATGTTACTGCTGTTGTTGTGAAACACGTTTGCATTGTTGCGTTTTGGTTTCAGTACAAGATGGATGTGTTTTTGTTGTTGCACTTCTTCCTCCTCCCTTGTCTGCAGCATTCAGTTGAAAGTGTTAGAATAAAGAGGAGCTTGCTCAGCATAAATGATGGTTTCTTCTCTTTTTATATAAGCACTTAGATCTTAGTAATGTAGCATACACTCCTAAATACCCTTAATGTTCAGGGCTCAGCTCATAGAGCAATTTGTTTAAATTACTAAGGAAAGACAAAAATCAGATAATGAAATCTTAGACATGGAGAAGGTGAGAGCCTTCTTTTACAAAACAAAGTTATTTTACTTTCTCAGAGATCTCTCTGAAACTCATTCCTTCACCAGTACCTAAGTGTACATATCCGCATATCCACCTCCCTGGCTTCCATCTAACACAAGACAAGGCTTGAATCTCACTAAAATCAGCTGAGTCCTTTCAATTTTCTAAAAACTGAGTGGTTTCAGTCCGAGACTCTTGCTTCAGATTTGCTAATTTGATCCTCCTTCAGTTCTTGAGCAAGGTGGCTGTCTGCTGTTTGTTTTCTTACTGTAAGCATAGTACTTAAAGATGCCCACTCTTCTTCACTGTAACTGTCACATAATCCTGCATTCAGTACAGGCTTCCTCAGTGCATGCACCACACTGTGCATTCATTGACTGCTGCTAATCCTGTCCTGTGATGTTATTTTTAACCTTTACCTGGAGTGTTTATGCAGATCATTTCATTCATACATCTAAGTAATGGTTAAGAAAACCTTGAAAGTACAGTCCCTGTTTGGGTGGTAGCAAAAATAACTGTTACTGCAACTGGAAGATCACTTTGGGAAGATGCCCTCTGTAGAGGTGTTTGCTGTCACAGGGTGTCCTTAACTCCCCTTTTTTTTTGTTTTATGAACAGAACTCTGTATGCACAAGCTATTTTTATTTCTTGGCTTTCTGCAAGTTTAACAAGATGAACCAAAATGGAGGAAAGACAACATTGTGTGTTTTTAGGCTGTTGCTTTTGTCACTGATTCACATGTTGCCTTGCATGGCAGAACAGCTTTTCCAGATGTCCACATAGAACACACATGCACAAAACTTATCTGTAGAGCTCGAAGCCAGCATCTTGCTCACTGTTGCACAGTACATTTACATCATGTTTCTACTAGCAGGGGAAAGGTCATTTCATGGTCTTTGTCTGTATTCTGGTATTGAAGTGCCCTGTGTGCTTTTAAAAATACCATACAAAGCTGTTGTCACCTTCAGAATGTAATGTCCTTAGTTCAAGACAGCTGTTTATAATTAAGTGACGTGAGAACATAAGAGTTCAGGAAGAACTGCCATCTGAGACTGCCAGAAAAGAGTGCTGGCCTGTGCAGACAACCATGCAGCTCCTAGTTGAGTAAGCATAGGTCCTAGTCCAGTTTGACTTACCTCTTCAGTAAACCAGTGCACACACCGTAACTGGAGCTTGCTTTCCCTGAGGAAAAGGGGGAATGGGACAAACACAGTACAAGGGGAAGCAGGCATCTATCTTATGTTCTATTGTACAAAAGAAAATGAGTTAAATGTCAGTATCTACTGCAGTAGAGGATTGCAGCAGACACTACAGCAGTAGCAATATTTTGCTTAGAAGTACTGAGGTTTTAAGTACAAGTCAGCTTACAAGTGATTACGTATTTCCTTTGGTGATGCACTGAAAAGCAGTAGTGCCATTCACATAAAATCAAAGGATCTTGAGCTGGAAGAGGCTACAAGAGTCACTGAGTCCAACTCCTGATCCGCACAGGACCTTGCCAAACCAAGCCCTGTGATTGAAGTGTTGTCCAAACACTCCTTAAATGTGGGCAGCTTAAGGCTGTGAGTGCTGCTCTGGAAAACCTGTTTCAGCAGCTAACTGCCCTCTGGCGCAGCCCCTTTCCCTCACCCCCAGCCGCCCTCCCCTGACGCAGCTCCATGTCGTTCCCTATCACTGTCACACAGAGCAGAGCTCTGCACTGCCCCTCCGCTCCGTGTGAGGAGCTGTAGCTGCCATCAGGCCTCCCCTCAGCCTGCTCTGCTATGAGCATACAGGGGGCTTCAGCCCCTCCTCACACAGCTGGCCCTCCAGCCCTTCACCAAGCTTGTAGCCCTCTTTTGGATGCTAACAGCTTTACATCTTTATATTGTGGTATCCAAAAGGTGAAGCTGCATGGAGCAGAGTGGAACAACCTTCACCTGGATGAGGGTGCTGGGCCTGGTGCACCTCGGGACACAGATGGCCTTAAGCTCATGACAGTGAATAAAATCAGCATTCTGCTATATTAGGCCACACAGGGTTTCCAACAGCACAACCTTTTATCTTAAACTGAAAAATCTTCTCTTGTATCTTTAAAATAAGGTCTGCTGCAGCTGTTTGACACATTTTCACTGGTAGCCAAGGATCTGAAAAATACTCATTAAACACAAGACAGTAGTGAATTGATAAAATCCTTCTGAAAAGTAGAAACAGGCAAAGAGAAAGCTGTTGTAGTAGCACCAATGAAAAATAAGTTTATTTCAAAGAAAACTGTAAGTATATACACAGCATACAATTAAAGGCATTTGTCATCTTATTTACAGGAATGTACATTATTTCTGTTGCACTAACAGAGTCAGTGCTAATTACAACTTCGTGTCCATGAGAATATTACCATCCTTATCCTTTACTCTTATTCTCCCAGAGACATACTTTGTTTCCTGGTGTCCATTTGAGTACACCGTCTTAACAGTCCCATCTGGATACTCCCGTCTCTTAAACTGTGATGTGTGTAGTTCTCTCTGACCATTATTGAACTCTATAGTCTTGCTTCCATCTCTGCATTAAAGACACATATGTAAGATGTATTTTGTAAAAACCATTATAAGGACTGTAAACAGGCTTAAGCTTATTCACAGAACAAACAGTACAGACACAGAACAACACAGTACAGTTCCCTAAAGTTCACAGTCACAGAACAAACAGTACAGTTCCCTAAAGGAACAAATGAAAAAAAAAAAAATCTAATATGTTTTGGTAAATACCGTGCCATTTTGTTGATACTCAAAAGCACATTTCTGCAAAACTCATGCAACTTCTTCATTCTTGAAAGCCTCCACCACACATTTCTCTGTCTAATCCTGTTGCTACAACAGTTCAGAAGCTTAATATTTTGAGTACCGTCAGTTTGGATCTGAGCCCTCATGAGGTAAAGCTGGGTACTCACATGTTCTCTAGTATTACATACAAGTCAGAAAAGTCATTTAGGCTACTGTGTTAGACTGCATTGTTGTTGTCTGCATTTTCTTTATCTCCTTCACACTACAGAAAATAAATGTCAAACAGCAAGCACATCTTCACAGTCCAGTCTATTCAAATGTAAGTTTTAAAGAACGTATCTCTATATACTGCCTCTGTCGGTGAGCTCTTACCTACTGCATCCCCGTCAACAGGCCAGGGTACCTGAAAATACAAAGCTTACCGCTGAATGCGAACAATTGTGCCATCTGGAAAGATGCTTTCTTCTTGTCCATCCGTAAATAAACTTTTGATAGTTTGATCAGGGAACGTAATTTCTTTCTTGCCATCAGGATAATGTTTCTCTAGAATGTATTTTGTGACAAGTTACTATTATATAAACACAGATCACACCAGTAGTGTCGGGGGTTGGTTGGGCTGGATGATTTCTTTACCTATTTGTCCATTTGAAAATTGCAAAATCTCTAAGCCATCAGGGTACGTAGTATGTGTAGTCTTCGCATCAGCATAATAGTAAATCTGAAGAAAACAGTTGAAATTAACTTATCTAGCCAGAAATTGTGTGTGTACACACATGTAAGTATTTATAGAGAAATGCAGAAGATGCAGGATACATACCACCGTTTGATCAGGCATAATCTGCTTTACATCTCCGTTAAAGAAGGTTATTGTTACAGTTTTCCCATCAGAACCCACTTTTTTCCACGTCCCATTAGGAAGAAATATGAGGTGACAGCCGTTTTTCAAAACCTTTTCAACCTAACGAATAGGTTACAGAGGTCAGTATTAAGACATCACATTCAAGTATCCATTGATCTTTCACTTCTCGTGAAATTTCAGATTCCACACTTTCATTTTACCCTTCCATCAGGATAAGCAATTTCTCTCTGTATCTCTTCACTGTCTGTATGCACAGGTTCAGATGGTACTGACACGGACACGAGAGCTTCAGCAGGAGAAGTGTCCTGAAATGATAGCAATAATATAAGCTTAAAAATCAAGCTCTGTTTTCATTCATCTTTCATTTCATAGGCTTTCAGGTATTTTAAGAAACAAGTATGACAGTAGGAAGACAAATATAGGAAGTCATAAAACCAGTGTGGGTTTTATGCAACTCCCAGTATAACTACAGTGATGCATTCAGGCCTGCAGTAATCAGAGAGTGATCAGCTTTTGTCCAGACTAAAATGAAATGAAATTGCTATGGCTTGGTGCCAACTGGCTGAAGTTATCCATATCACAATGTGAAACAACTGATAAAGTTTTAGAACACCAAATGCTACCTACAGTATTCCAGAATTAATTCAGCTACATGAAGGATTCTTGCATGGTTTCCCTACGTGGAGCATACAAACAGCCAGCCTCTTAAAATGGAAAACTTTGCAAAATTCTAGAGGGTAAGAGATTATTATTTTATTTCCTTACCTCAGCTACAGCCACAGGTAGAGCGTTCTGCACTGACTATCACATAGCCATTTTCATGACAATAACAGCATTGCAATTCAAGAATAAGATGGAGTCAACAGCTTTCCAAGTCACCTTCCAAATATTAAGTACTGAAAACTACTCCCTTAAAAACCAAATCAGGATACAGGACTTATTACCATAACAGTTTTAGAAGAATCTTGTAGTGTCGTCACTGTCTCTGACTTGCTGTTGTCCTTAGCAGGTGCTGATGCAGGTCCTCTAGAAAGCTTTCCTACTCAGATAAATGTAGTGAAGTTAATTTGGCCAGTAAAGTACAGATTAAATGTTAAAATCATATAATGAGGTCAATCTGTACAGGACACCCATAGTTTTTAAGTGAAGCAGAAGCTGAAAATAGTATGTCTATGAAAAAAAAAAAAACTCAACATATGTCGCTGTCTGGGGTAAGTCATCTGCCACCAACACACCCAGAAGCACTTTCACTGAGAATGGGCTCCTAACAGCTTGCTCCAAAATCTTGCCTTGGGACATGTCTATTTATGCACTCAAGTTCATTACAGCTATTTCCTATTTTCAGATGGTCCTTTAAACACATGCAAAAAATCCACATTTATTTTCTCCGTTGAAGAATTAACCAACTAGACAAATGTGTACCTTTTGCCTCTGAATAACCTCTGCCATTTATCTTGCCACACTTCTGAGCTGGAGGAAGCAGAGATCCAGTTTCACTTTTCAGGCCTCTATTTTGCGGACACTGGAAGTAAGGAAGTTACACTTGTGGTTTATATGTGACATTTATTCCCAACTCTTCATGCAGTTGCAATAAAATTTATACACCATTTGAGAGGAAATTCACTGCAAGCTTTCTTCACAAGCTATACATTTTTGAGATTAGTCATCAGAAGAGCTTGTGTGATGTAGCCCAAAAGCTGTATTTTGGAATTGTCTGCTGCCTCATGACCAAAAACTGTAGAATGTTTATTTGGTGCAAGCAATCCAAAATAAATTACATTTCAAGATTAAATGTAACTACTTGAAGCACTGGTGAACTGCCTGGTTTGCCTGGCTGATCCTTGAGCTGCAGAGGTTCTCAGATCTCGCCTATGTATTTTTTCTGCTTACAATTGCATTGTTTGAATTTCTAAGAAGTTAAATTCCTCAACAAAGGACACTGCCCACGGTGACGCAGCCTTGGAGATTTTCAGAAGCTGCTTGGACATGGTCCTGGGCACCCTGCTCTGAGGGTCCCTACTTGAGCAGGGGCTGGGCTGCGTGCAGCCGGAGAGCCCCTTTCACCTTAACCCATTCTGTGAACATTTATATTTGGAGAGAAGGTGCCACTAAAAACAGTTCGGTCTGGCACCATCTGCAGAACCCCAAGATCAGTGAATTATAAGTCTGGTTGTGCCTATTAGATTCTAATTTCACGATCCAAAACACAATATTCACGCAGACCTAAACGCTGAGATGAATAACTTACTACAGATTCTGTTCTTTTTAAAGTCATCCCAGAATTTTCCACTTTCTTCTTGCTTCCAACAGCTTCTACTTTTTTCCAGGCTTCTAACCGAAACCTCTCCATAATTTTGACTTCTTCTTTCAGCTCCATGTTCTCATTTACTAAAGCATCTATTTGATCCTTCAGGCGTCGATGGGTGGTTGACCATTTTGCTTCTTTCCGTTTGAAATCTTCCTGTAACTCTGCAATCTGCTGTTTTAAAGCCTTAGAAGAATGTTTATAAAATGTTTCATTTTTTTTAAATATTAAAAGATTTCAAATTTTCTAGGAAAATAATATAAGAAAAGATTAAGAGAAGGGAGGTTTTCTTCTGTGAAAAGAGTAGCATTAACTTTGGACTACCAACTTGAATATCTCAACTTCAGTCACAGGAGCCCCTGTGATCATCACACTTTCAGCCTCCTTTACACTTCATAGTCAGGCCAACACAAACACACTTGAGGCAGAAATGTGCTGTGTATGTGCTATAATGTGCTATTTAAGGCTACCTCAAAAGGACCCTTAACAAATCTTGGCACGAGAAAACAGCAAGAACAAAGTCACATAAAATACTCATGAATCCATGTAATTCATTTTTCAAACGTTACTTCAGTCTGTCGAGGTAGCATCAAGAAGTGATATCCACAAGTGAAGCTTGATACAACTTGGCTGTGTACCTGATGAATCTTGACAGTGAAGGAACAAACAGATCTTGTTTCTTTATCACTGGCATTTAAAGACTTACGAGTAAATCATCAGAAAACATGACTTTGAAAATTACAGATGATAACTATGTTTACTGTGGAACACTTAAAAATAAAATTTAAGCATAGTTCTAGTTTGTATTTTCATTCACTACGCAAATCAAAACTTGCAATGTTATATGAGCTATAGTCATTTTATATCAAAGTTGAAGATCACTCTACCATAGTCTCATGCAGTTTTTATGCATGGAAACGTGACAAAAATATTTGTAAGGTTGGCTTTGTTGTTTTGTTTGTTTGTTTGTTTGTTTTTCCTTGAAAGTACCAGATAATGTTATGAAGACTGCAATTGTTTTCCCAATTAAGCCAATTGCAACCCTTCACATGATTGGCCTAAGTTATAATTAGTTTCAAGTTAGTTCTCAATTGCCTTTAAATGAATTTCAGTTTTCCTGTGTAAATAATAATAGTAACTGTTATTTTCATACCTGAATTTCATCACGTTCTTTTTTGTCTGGAATTGCTCTAGCTTCTATGGTATACTTTTCAAAAACTTTACGTTCCTTTTGCAGTTTTTTCATTTCTTTTTTTCTATATTCCTCTATTTCAGCAAGTTCTTGGGATTTCTGCTGTTGAAAGTCTGCAATTTCTTTCCTGCAGTTATAAAACAAAGCATTGTTTTAAAACTATAAAAACTATTTAAAACTATTGTTTTAAAGCTATAAAACTATACAAACCTGGAGTGAGAAAACAGACTCTAAATTCTGTAGTCAAACCCAGCATTTGTTACCCTTGGAAGATTGGCTTATAAGCAGTATTTCATAGAATCGTTTAGGTTGGGAGACCTCAAAGATCGAGTCCAACAATTGTCATACAGCTAGTGTTTGATGTCCAGCTATTTCTGGATCTGTATCTTTAATCACAAAAGTTATCCAGAACCTAGCAAAACTTCCTGTGGAGGACTTGGGGGTCCTGGTGGACGAGAAGCTGGACATGAGCCAGCAGTGTGCGCTTGCAGCCTGGAAGGCCGACTGTGTTCTGGCTGCAATAAAGGGGTGGCCAGCAGGAGAGGGAGGTGATTGTCCCCCTCTACTCAGCTTTGTGAGGCCCCAGCTGCAGCACTGCGTCCAGGACTGGGGCCCTCAGTACAGGAAGGACGCGGAGCTCTTGGAGTGTGTCCAGAGGAGGGCACTAAGATGATCAGAGGGCTGGAGCACCTCTCCTATGAGGAAAGGTTGAGGGAACTGGGCTTGTTTAGCTTGGAGAAGGGAAGGCCCCGGGGAGACCTCATTGTGGCCTTCCAGTACTTGAAGGGAGCTTATAAACAGGAGGGGGAACAGCTGTTTACGAGGGTGGACAATGATAGGACAAGGGGGAATGGTCTTAAGCTGAGACGGGAGGTTTAGGTTAGATATTAGGAGGAAGTTTTTCATACAGAGGGTGGTGATGCACTGGAACAGGTTGTTCCAGAGAGGTTGTGGATGCCCCATTCCTGAAGGCATTCAAAGCCAGGCTGGATGTGGCTCTGGGCAGCTTGGTCTAGTAGCCCATGGCAGGAGGGTTGAAACTAAGTGATCTTTGAGGCCCTTTTCAATCCAGGCCATTTTATGATTCAGTAAAGCTTTGTGTGCAATTGCAGCCCAGAAGGCCAACAGTATCCTGGGCTTCATCAAAACAGAGTGGCAGCAGGGAGAGGGAAGGGATTGTCCCCCACTGCTCTGCCCTTGTGAGGCTCCATCTTGTTCATCCAGGCCTGGGGCCCCAGCACAAGAACGTTGTGGAGCTGTTGGAGCAGGTCCAGAGGAAGGCCACAAAGATGATGAGAGGGATGGAGCAATCTCCTGTGAAGAAATGTTGAGGGAGTTGGGCTTGTTGAGCTTGGAGAAGGCTTCAGGTAGGCCTCATTGCAACCTTCCAGTACTTAAGGGGAGCCTATAAAGCAGGAAGGAGACCAACTGTACACAGTCTACCAGTGATAGAAAAAGGGTGAATGGCTTTAAACTAAGAGGGGGGGAAATCTAGGCTAAGTGTTAGGAAGAAATTATTTTCTCAGAGGGTGGTGAGGACTGGCACAGCTGCCCAGAGAAGCTGTGGATGCCCTATCCCTGGTGGCATTCAAGGCCAGATTGGAACTGGATGATCTGTGAGGTCCCTTCCAACCTAAGCCATTCTCTGATTCTAGATTCTATGAAAGCTTGCCAATATTCCTTAGAGCAGTGGAACACCATTCCACCAAAAGCTGCTTGTAAAAGAAACAGTGACTAATAGCAGGTCACAAATCAAACATTAGCCAGCAACATGATGCTGTATCCAAACAAAACAAAATTAACTTTGGCAGAAACAGGTATGCCACTTTCAAATCTCCGCAGAATTATTCTGCTGTATTTACTGCTTATAATTCCCCTAGCTGAAATGAATACTAATGCTCCGTTTGTACATCCAATCCAAATGGACAGCATCGATCACATTCAGGTGAAATCTGTTTTATGACACCAGTTTAGGACTGTGTTATTGCTCAGAATAGAAGTATACACGAGAAAATTCTCACTGGCATAGCCTTTAAGGATATCATATTGAAGCAGCAGGAGTGCTCAACATTCTTCCTAGATTGGCAATCTGTTTTTACGACTACATTTCATACATACATACAGAAACAGCCAGTTTCTTGATCTATGTCTCCACTGTTACTAAAATACATGAATTACTTAACAGTACCTAAGTAAAACTGCACAGTGTGATAGCCAGGAACACACCATTTTAGTGAACGCACCAAACTATGGGTTTTCAATTCAGGATTACCTGATGCTTGCCAAGGCATGCTCTCTTTCTTCACGGAGTTTAGTTAGAATTGTGTTTTCAGCTCTGAATCGCTCAATTTCCATTTCCAATTCAATGAGTTTCTCTCTCAGTGTCTGGGATGGAACAGTGGCTCCTACCATACAACAACCAGATCCATTAGACTGAAAAATTACTAACACACTAATTTTAAAAAATCTATATACTATTTTACAGATAGCAGTAGCATTGCAAGAAAACTCTAGTACTGAAGTGACATTCTGAAGTACCCTGCACTATATACTCAAGTTCCTCATCAAGTTCATCTATAATATTTGTAGAACTAAACATATAACAGAAATCAGAATGTGAAGGACCTGTAGAGAAATGAAGATATGATAAGAGCAAAGCATCAAAGAGGAGAGTTACAAATGTAAGTTTTTCCAGCTGTAAGTTTACTCACAGCACAGCCTGCTTGAAGTCATCACTGACCTGAAATGGATTGTAGAGGCCCAGAGTATTTGTGGGCCTCTCTGCCATTCCAGTTTCCTGTTCAGTCACTGCTTAACACTCGTAAGGCTTTCATAGTCTGCTTCTGAGCATGCAAAAAGAGGCTAAGTACTGATGCTGTAGCGTAGTTAGTTGCCTCGATCACTCGTAAATGCTGCTAGCCATTACTCCCAGCAACAAGACCCAGCAGATTTCTTTCGAAAGCCAATAAAACAGTTCTCCATAAAACACTAAACCTACCACTTCTGCTTCATATGATCTTCAAAAAAACAGAAAAAATCCTAAACATTTATTGGTGCAGAGTTTGAAACTGACACCTCACCATCTTACAGAGAAGACATGCAAGGCTGCACCATCATGTTGTCTGTTCTAGCACAAACACAACAGCTTTTACAGGAGATTGTAGAGATTGTAAGCCTTCTGCATACCACAGCCGTATAGCTGAAATGGTTGAAATCAACTTGGGACGAGCAGAAAAATTAACTTGTTTTCTATATTCCAGGTGAATTCTCTACATAGTGCACTGCAGACAGAAAACAGACATTGCTGACGCATCCAGTTTTACCACAGGAACAATCTAACCTAGGAGTGCATGGCACTACCCAAATGAGGTGTAGATGCACTCACTGGAAAGGGAGGCACTGCTTCATTTTCAGCATGCTTTTGCCTCTTTGCTTGAGTTTGAAACAGTGGTCAAGCGCCTTCGGATTAAGTTAGTTGAATGAGGCGATGAGACAAAAACTAGCCTTCAGGGTGAAATAAATGAAGGGTTTCACTGAACTTATCATTCTGCAGGCTGTGCAATGACTGCATCTGGCACCAGACACAACCAGAAGAGATGAAGGGTGCCTACAGTAGAAGTCTGTACCTTTTGGTGTAGCGTCAAGTTGCAGCTTAAGCCTTAGAAGGAAAGACTTGTAAAACATGTATTCTTCAACATTTCCTACCAGTTGCTGTTCTCTCACCTCCTGACTCCTGTTCCACATTTGATTTGATTTCATGCTCTGGATCACAGCCTGTCTTCTGTTTTGGTCTCAGTGAGGGAAACAGTTTCACCATCAGGTCTGATGGAGGTCCATTTGAATCGCTGTCCACTGCAGGCTGTTTAGACAGTTCTTCCCCCCTCTTTGAGGCAACTTTTCTCTTTAATGCTCTATCTGGGAAAGGTGTATCATTCTTACTGAAAAAATCAGTCTGTGAGGTCATTGTAGTGTATATTTCAGGTAAACCATCATGAACATAATTTTCATCAAGATCACTCCATGTTCTCTCATCATCAAACTCAAACTTATTCCTGTTTACACAAGACATGCTTCTTTGGTGGTCTGAAGCTTTTCTAACCTTTTGGTTTGACTGTGCATCTTTGTCTGACGAGTCAAGGTTGGCACTTCCATTTTTGCTTTCTTTGCTAATATCTGTAGCAGAACTTCTATAATCTAACAATTCTGGATCGCTTTCTCTATGGCTCATAAAGGATGTCTTAACATCTTCATTTTCATATTTTAAAGTGGTCTCAAATTCTTGCTCAGAATCTGTAGTACTGTTACCATTTTCTTCATCTTTGTCTTCATTCACAATCCACTGAGTACTTTTTAAAGCAGGAGCTGCTGTCATGAAAGAAGCTGAAAACGTTACACTATCTGCTTTATTCAGTGGATCCTTTAGTCTAGAAGCTGTTTCTGAATTTGACATCGCATGATTAACTGCTTTATCATTTTTATTTCCCACAGCCACACATTCTGCCTTTTTCTTGTTAACAAATTCCTTTACTTGCTGCTGTTTTGCCTTGATAGGGGTAGAGGACATTCTGCGTCCTTGTGAAGTTTGCTGATCTCTATCTAAGATCCTTTGCACAAATGAAGAATTACTTGAGAAAGATATTTCATCTGCAGCCTGTTCTAGAAACAAAAATTCATCTAATTCCAGGTTTTCTTTTTCCTTTTCTTTTTCCCAGTTTTCCAACTTATTCTGAAATGAAACTTCAAAAGACAGTTCTGAATCCTTTATAGAGTGAGTCACAGAACAGTTAGAATTAGAAAAGGCATCAGCCATCTCACAAGATAATGGAGGCTTTTCTGTGTAAGGTAATTTGTTTCTGATTTTGCTGCCAGTGCTAGACTTAGTAAATTCCACTACATTCTCTTTATTTTCTATTTTATTGTTTATTTTATTGACTTCAGGCGAAAAAGAAACCTTAATCTGTCCATTAAGATTTTTTCCTGGTTGCATTCTTGTTTCCAGTGGCAAGGAATTTTTTCCATTGTAATTTCTGAGTACCAGGGTCTTCTGAAGAGGACGTTTGGCTTTGTCAGGCTGGTTATTTTTTTTACATGGTGTAAGAGAGCTCTCAGAAACCAGTTCTTTGCCAGAAGGCAGACTTTTCTTTTGCATTTGTGATCTGTCCACTCTCACATTTCTGTCATCTGAAGCCCTCTGTGGAGGCTTCAGCATGTTTTCCCGAAATTTTGTTATCTGAGATCTGGCATTAGTAAACCTTGTTAAGCCTTCTCCTCTTTTTAGGAAGGGTCGTTTGATCACAGGTTTTTGAATGGCTGATCCATATGTCTCCTGAAAGGGGATAAGGAAAATTAACACACACACACACACACACATTAAATCCCTCGTGCAGTTTTAAGTTTCTGGGTTTTTGAATTTGCTTGGGTTTTTTTGCTTGTTTTCCAAATAAACCCCACATGTTAGTAGGAATTTATAAAGTGCATTTACTTCTACTGGATTTCTGAAAGCATCTTAAACAAAATAGTTAGGACTTATTGTTTTATTTTGAAGATGAATTATTAAGATGTGAATATTGCAGCGTTAGCTTTTGATGCCAGAACCTGCTGTCTAAGTTCTTAAAGCACCTGTCACACAATGGTATAATATTTAAAAAACAACTTAGAAAGAATAGAAAACCTGTAACTTCTGTTTTTGCTTCAGACGCTGCTCTTCTATTTGCATCTGTTCTTCCACAAATTCCTCAAAGGTCTGTTTCTTCTCCTGAATCGCAGCTTTAATAGGTCTGTAGTAATTAAAAAAATTATATATATTAACATTTCTGTGTAATTTAATTGCATTTAACATCACTGCTAATCAAAGACCTGGGATACAATTACCTAAACAATGACAATTACGAAGAACTTTAGTCACTGAGTGGCAAAGCTAATCTGAAAAATGCATTGTAGTAATAGTTGATTATCTTTTGATAAAATTATTCATACACAGCTAAAAAAAATTGCCATCGCGACCAGCCATTCTTCTGCCCGAGCCATCAGACTCACACTCAGATTGTAGTCATACTGATAATAATATCTATCTAAGATCTAATAATATCTATCAGTATGATTGTAGTCATACTGATAATAATTTCTATGGTATGTCCTTCACATTGATTCATAGATATCCTACAGAGATCAGCCTGCATTCTGGGTCTGGCTAGGATGGAGTAAACTTTCTTTACAGCAGTCCATATGGTGCTGCTTTGGATTTGTGACCAAAACAGTTTTTTGTGCTGTTGTTGAACACTTCTTGCAGAGCATCCAAGTTTTCTCTGGTTTCTCATGCTGCTCACTCTGTTCACCCCATCAAATAGGCTGGGGATGGGCAAGAGAGAGAGGGCAGAGCCAGAAGAGTTGATCCAAAGTGACCAAGAGTTCCATGCCACACAACATCATGTTCAGCAATGAGAACTGCAGACTTGTTTTCTAAAACTACACAGGACCAACTGTGCATCGGTCTGGTTGTGGGAGATGGCCGCCTTCTTAATGCTGGGGTCTCTTCCTCTCTTTTCTTCACTTGTTGTGAAGATAAAGTGTCTTTATCTCAACCCACAAATGTCATTTTACTTCTTCCAATTCACCTCCATTGAATTCTGAGGCAGGGTGACCAAGTGGCTGCCCGAGGTCAACCCAGTACTGCCTGGAACAAGTATTTCATGTTATGACAGGCAAGGCAGAGCTTCAAAACAATGCCAAGCACTACTTTTATTCCATCAACAGCAGCAACAACAAAAAGCTTCTGACATCCATGAGAAGGCTTCTCCCACAAGCACTGTTATTTCTTAGCCACACATAGACACTTAAACAAACATAACTCCTGGTAACAAACTAAAAAGTTGTGGCCTTACACTCTTCCTCAACATCACTACTTTTGCTGTGTAACAGTGGAGAGGAGTTTGTAATGAATCAGATTGAGTGCGGTAATTGTGACTGCTAATCTACTAAGCCTATACCAGAATGTGCTTCTACACTGCTATCACCCCACGCTGCACACACCTCTTCAGCCAGCACAGCACATCTGTCACAATCTCAAGCCAGAGCCTCTCCTACTATTGCTCTCCATTGTACTAGTGAAACGTAATCCCTGCTTAAGAAAGCTATACAAATTGAGAACATCTGAATTGGGATTCAGAATTCATTCAAACTTGCAGTATAAATTACTTACACTTTTTACCAAATCACGTTCTGAATTACCTTTCCTCTGCATTAGTCACCCATAACTGTTTTCCTCTGTTCTCAGAGAGTTCCGCACTAAAAGGATCCATGGGTGGATCTTCAGTCTCTGTTAATTTTTCCATCTTTTGTTCTGGACACCTCATGCTTTTTCCTATGAAATCAACAGAATACAAATTCGTTTTTTTTCCTCCCAGAAGCATGCAAACAAACAAACAGTCAGCTCAGCTTACATTTAAGTGGCATTCAGACCAGATTAAAACAGCTTCATGGTCACATAGTCTGAATTCCCACACAAAAGAAGTCCTATGATTTTCCCAAATTAACTCTTGTTTGAATTTGAGCACTCTTTTGAAAGCAATATCCAACCACGTATAAGTTTTCTCCCCCAGACACACACCTTGGCACTCCATTCCGATTCATCATCTTTGCTAACTTACGGCTTAAAGGTAAAATAACAGAAGCTTGGATGTCTGCTATACTTAAAAATTAAGATCAATTCATCCTTTCACATCGCCTTAGACCAAGATTAAAAGCTTGTCATCATATTTCATGCTTGTAACTCACTCTCATTTCTTTTCTCTGAAACCTCTACGGATTTACAAACTCCTTATTAAATTTAAAACCAAAAATGCTATTCCAGTCATAACAGCATAAATGGTAATGCAGTGCCAGTGGTACAGCTAAGAAACAGGAAAAAGTGAAGAATTCTGGTGCGTTTCTTCTGGTGTATAAACAATTCTTCATCAGCCTTCCAACTCTAAGGACATTATGACTATGCCATAGCACCTCTTTGCCAATCCATCTTGATTCCTAATTCCAATTCAGTTATTTAGCCTCACAACACAGTTGTCTGGAGACATTCTGTATCCCTGTATGGACTATTTTCTAATTGCTACTTGAAAATACGGTTTCAGTTCATTCTAACTTACCAAATAATGCAGCCATCAAGGATCTGTCATTATTTTACCATTTTCCCAGTCTTTATCATACATAAGTTTTAGCAGTAGCCATTTTTTTCCCTACTAGAACAGACAAACATATCATGCTGATGGAAGAACTTGATTTTTCCTCCTGCTGCTTTTAACAACACTCACAGGAACACTGAGGCTTCTGAGCTGACCATATTGAGCAAAGGAAACCAAAATTTGTATACAAGCATCACTACAAGCAGTGAGTTATGCTCAGTAACTTTGGGGGGGGGATGGGAAGGGAACACACACTCCCAATTATTTTTCTCCAAATGCCTTAACCAATATAGTTGTCGCCTCCACTGCCTTTCAAGCAGTTCTGCATTTTCAGGGGCCTTGCTTTTTACAGGCAGACAGTACTGAACAACCGTTGTCCAAAGATGAGATGCATTCTGCATTGTTTAACTTTCGTTATAATTTCACTGTTCTGTGTATGTGGAGACCAATTACTCAGAGCATAAGCTTTGTTGTCCTTGTGATTCTGTTACTCAGATGACTGATTTGTAAAAAAAAAAAAAAAAAAACAAAAAAAAAAACCAAACAAAAAAACTTGTCCAGCCCAATGAATGCCCAGGTCTTAGCTTAGCTTTTTACCTTCAGCCATTAGAGTACAGCCTTCAAACAAACCAGTGTTTCACAGGAACAAAAATAAACTTACACAGGAGGGCAAGAGCCAGCCTCCATCCTCATGTTCCCAACTCAGAAAAAATCATTAGGGAATTTAGTTTTTGTTCAAAGCCTAACTTCAGTTTCTCAGATAGGCTACGTAAAAGAAATATAATCATTTAAATCAGGTGGGTCTGATACTACCTGCAAGAGAAAACGCCCTCTCTCAACTCTGGGGGCTTCTTCCAGTCCAGGACTGTCCTCTCCATGTGCACAAGCTAAATTGGACTGGAACACTGATTCAGGTTACAGATGTTTGTTTCTCAGTACAGATGAGTTCCCCAGTCATTCATGGGAAAACGTACTGTGAGCACAAACAAGGAGGCACCACCTCATTTGGATACAGCGATGGCTTAAAGCAATCAGAAGTATTGAAAGAAATGCAACTGCCTATTTTGTCTTTTATTTTTATGATATTTTCTTCAAAACAAGGGCTCCCATCATTAATTACAATGAAAGTTGGCAAAAGGATAGCATTCCTTTAGCAGTACCACACAGCAGTCATTAAAATGATGCATTTATCTTTGACTAATCAAGTAGTCTTAAGATGAACACTGAATATACTTTCTAACTTAAACAAGAACAATAGATCACATTCTTCAGTTTAATAAAGTACATATTTTTTCCACTCAGAGGGTGGTGATGCACTGGAACAGGTTGCCCAAGGGGGCTGTGGATGCCCCATCCCTGGAGGCATTCAAGGCCAGGCTGGATGTGGCTCTGGGCAGCCTGGTCTGGTGGTTGGCAGCCCTGCACATAGCAGGGGGTTGAAACTCAATGATTGTGATCCTTTTCAACGCAGGCCATTCTATGATTCTGTGATCCTATGCTTTATTTCTCAACTTACCAAGAACTGCTGTCTGACCAGATACCATGCTAAGTAACTTCTGCTGTTCTTCCATTAGCCTTTGAAGTTGCTCCATCTGTTGTTTCTTTAGCTGTTCCTGTTTCTGTTGTTGCAATTCCTTCAGCTTTTTAAGAAATTAAAAAAAAAAAAAAAAAATCAATGTACTGTGGGGTAAGTATACTTAGAATGCACCCAAACATAAGCATCATCAAGACAACAAATTTTAAAGACATCCCTTTATCTAACTGTAACATGACACGTTGCATACAAAGTGCTTTGATGAATGAAATTCATGCTGTTTCTAGTGCACCCCAAGCCACTAGTTTTTAATCGACCAATCTGCAAATAGTAGATAACAGAACTCTCATTTCTGCAATTTGGGAAATGTTCACCTTTTGAGGTAAGAAGAATCTAAGAGCAAATATGCTGGTGCTAAACATAATTTCATTTTGAACTGAAATCTGTGCCTATGAAAACCAACTAGGCTCTCAATAACAGCATGTTATGAGTAGGACACTAATCTTTACGCAACTGACACGTAACTGACTCAGGGCTTGCTCTTTAAGCTTATGTTCTACAAATACTTTCAGGTATGAAAAATTATAGAATACTAGAATCTACTTAGAGTTGGAAAGGCCCTTTAAAGTTTCTTTTATCTGTCCATCTCCCCTGCAACAAACAGGGACATGCACAGCTCGATCAGATTGCCCAGGGCCTGATCCAGCCTTACCCTGAAAGTCTCCAGGGATGGGGCATCAACAACATCTCTGGGCAACCTGTGCCAGTGCCTCACCACCCCCACTGTTAAAGCCTTTTTCCTTAAATCCAACCTAAATCTCCCCTCTTTAAGCTTGAAGCCATTTCTCCGTGTTCTAATTTCACATACCCCACTAAAGAATCTGTCCCCTTCTTTCCTGTAGCTCCTCTTTAGATACTGAAAGGCTGCTCTCAGGTCACCTCACAGCCTTCTCTTCTCCAGGCTGAACAGCCCCAGCTCTCTCAGCCTGTTCTCATAGGAGAGGTGTTCCATTCCATGGATGCACAGGAACAAAATATACCTTAATTTAAGAATATCAAGAAATTCTAGAATTTTTAAAATTTATTACCTGTTCAAGCTTTTGTAAGAGAGGATCATTGCAATCAGATTTATTCTGAGCATCCTTTTCACTGTGGCCGAAGTCTGCTTTAGAGCTTCCTACATTATATGCTGTTGCTGGAAAAGACATTTCAGTGCTGTTTTGCTGAAGTGCACAGGAGCTGCCAGACTCAAGCAATTGCTCTTCACTTAAGGAGTCCTCACTTACAGAACAGCTGTCTAAGAGATTCTGCACTTCACCAGGGAAAGCCGTGATGTTTTCAGGTCCAGGTAACAGACTTTCTGTGGTGATTTTTAATCCAGTAAAATGAGGATCTAATAAGACACCAGCACGGGAATTACTGGACATCCAGTGTGCAATGAAGTTTTGTTCACTACTCAGATCTTCAACAGTTGGCATCCTGTAAATTACATTCCAATGCAATTGCTGATGCAGCGTTAACATAACATAGTGTAGCGCCAGGGGAGTAAAAGGTGCAGTCACAAATATCAGGCGTGGATGCTCACTTGTTTTTAGCTCCGAGAAATTAAGCAGATAAAAAAAAAAATCTACAGGAAGAGACTCCCAGCATCAGGAAGTCACTCTTAAAACCAGCCGATCGTGTTTATAAGGAGCAGTCCAGCCACAAATCCTCGTACTGACGCAACGCCGCAGAGATGCCCACGTGAACACGATCGCTTTACTGTGCATATTTCAACTCGCACTTAACCTTCCTGCGGTAACTCCACGAACAGCTGCGCGTTCCCTTCTCACTCCTCTTCCCACCACCATCACCGCCCGGCGGCACTCCGGGATCCCCACAGGAACCCTTCCGGAACTCCTACAGAACTCCGTACGAGCAGATTTCGAAACGCTCAAAGCTTCCCCAGAGCGTAATATTCCAAATGGCCGAAGCCGAAGCCGCCGCCACTCAGCGCCGCGACCTCCCGCCGCTCGCAGTTACAAACGCGCCGCCATAGCACAGCCTCCCGCCGCCACAGGCTGGACGCCGCGCGGCGTGGGGCACGCCGGGATTTGTAGTCCCCAGCCGCCGCCCGCCTCCTGCAGCCCCGTAGCGATCTCTCTGCGCTCGACTACAGCTCCCAAAATGCTCAGCGGCGAGAATGCCGTTAATAGGTTGACACTGCAAACCCTCCAGCCCTGCCTGGGCTTCTGAGGGGCGGGGGCAGGCGCACGAAGGCGGTGATGCCTACCCCGCCCCGTTGCTGGGGGAGGGGCCGCTCCCCGCCTTCCCGCCCTGTGGGGGCGGCAGTGAGGAGGTGACCGCGGAACGAACCCGCAATCTCCGCTCGCCGTGCCTTTGCTGGGCGGGCGGGGCTGTGCGCTTTCAGCGTGCTTTCCTTGTAGCTGCCTCTGCCCTTTTAATCTTTAAATAGCTGCAGTAAGGGTGGAGTGGAAGGATAAGTGGCAGAAAGCCTACAGAGTCATTGAACCACCTGGGCTTCTTTCCATCCTTCCCAATGGGAAGGGGCCCATAAGGATCACTGAGTCCAACCCCTGGCTCCACAGAGGACCACCCAAAAGCCAGTCCCAATGTCTGGAAGCACTGTCCGAATGCTCCCTGAGCTCTGGCAGCTCAAAGCTGTGCCCACTGCCCTGGGCAGGCTGTTCCTGTGCAGATCCAGGAGTTAGGCTCAGTGATCCTTACGGACCCCTCTCAATTCAGGATATTCCATTAATCTATGTTGAAAAACCTTTTCCAGACTCCCAACCTGACCCGCCCCTCACCCCAACACAGCTCTGTGCCATTCCCTCACGTTCTGTCACCATCACCAGAGAGTTTTTGACATTTTGCTCTTTAGGAATTCTCTTACTGAGCAAAAGTTTCCTCAGAGCTCCAGCAAACAGTGGAGAATCTCACTCCAAAGCCTGGTGACACATTGCCAGCTGGAGCCGGGTTTTGCTCCTCTTTGCACCTTGGTACAGGACCGAGCTCCCAGCTGCATAAAACCAAGGCAGCTCTTTCAGCTGCTGACTGCTAAATCTCACATCAGCTGTCGCTCTTTCCAAACTTCCCATCACCTTTCCTGCACTTAAGCCAGTTATGAATATATCACCTGCACAGCTTTCCTGAAGCTGAGTTCTGCATTAACAGTGGGAAACTACAGTGCTGGAAATATATATTAAAAAACAAAACAAAACAAAACAAAACAAAATGCAAGGATTTCTACCCCTTCCTTTTCAAGCACAACGTCACCTTTAATGCATTAACATCCTCATGAAAATTCAGTATCCCTGCACACTGAAGGCCCACATTGAGTTCCAGGTTATTCTTCGTCTATTTTTGAATGAGGACAAAATTGTCTTTGGTGCTCTCCTCTGTCAAAAGCGTAATCTATCTCTAATGATGATCCCAAACTTGCAAACCAATCATAATTACAAGCTCATGTACCTGTGTGAAATTCTTCTGAGGTCATTAGGGCCTTATGGATCTCCACTGAGATAAATTAAAACTGCAAGAATTAAACCAGTGACAGTTGTCAGCAACTCTCCATTGCACAACTTCTTACTTAGTGCTGCATCAGCGCCTTATTCCAGTTATAAAACTGTTCACCATTCTTCACTCTCACATTAAATATTGTCGTTTTCTATTCTGATTTTGAATTCTGGAAACTCTGCAGTTCAAGAAGAGTAAAGACAAACACTTTGCTAAAGTCCCTTGATAAGTTTGATCCTCAGGGGAAATTGGCTAAAGAAGAGAGGCTAATATTGGGTGGCAGCATTCATCAGCAATAAGAGGGAATAAAGCCTACTTCACTCAGCAGAAAGAAAAGCTGCTGGGTACAGACTAAAGAGGTTTCAGCTTTACTTCCTGCTGTCTGGAGCGTCTTTCAAAGTTCACTTGCACTTTAACAGTGAGTTTCCTCCTCCCTCAAGCCCCGGAAGTGTTAGTGTTCCTTATTCCGCAGAAGGCTGCACGTCACTTGGTCGGTTTATTTGTCGGGGTCACAACTGTTGCTGCTGTCCCCTCGGGCGATGTTCAGGTGGGTGTGAGCTGCCTTAGCCCATCCTCCCTCCCACCACTGAGGCTCTTCACTTGCACCTCGCTCTACTGGGGAAGCAGGAGGTCCTTCAGGCAGGGAACTGCCTGAGCAGGTGAGTGTAAGCCATCTTTCACCTAAAACATACAGAGGGAAGTGGGATCAGGAGTCATTGGACAGCTGTCACACTGGGAACAGAGACAAGCTTTGTTTGCTAGGTGGGGGGAACTTCACTTTGCAGGCAAACTTTGAGGAAGTGAATCTGCCCTTCCCTCAAGCTTTCCTTTCCTCTTACTGGCTCATTTAAAGTTTACTTACAGATCAGTTCTCTCAGTATTTGTTCCTAGTCCTTAGCAGTATAACTTTCATAAGGAAGTGTCATATAAAATATTTTTGTGGAGTTTTGCACCACAAACAATTCAATTGCTTCTTGAGTTTCCAGGACTGTGTTGGCAGGGCTTGTGACGGCTTGTATGTATTTCAATAACCTCCTAATAATCTTTTGGGTTAGGCTGTGCAAATGGAATCCATTATTTCCTGAAGAGGTGACTTCTGCTGAAATTTCAGCAGTGTCCAGAGTCTGCTGTAGAGAATTTGCAGCGAAGTCAGTGCATGCAGAGATCAGTGCAAAAGGAGGCAGTGCCCTCTATGCTTTTAATATCGGAAGCTTTTGGCAGTGGCACATTTTCTTTTGTATGTGACTCAAATTAATCTACTTGAGCCAAGTCTGCATCTTAAAAGATTGTTAGCATCTCAGATAATGTAGTATCTTGTGAAAACCTCCTCCTTATGGAAAAAAAGAGTTGCAGGGTTTATTCTGTGCATGAGCCGAGAGTACTTTATGACAAATGTACTGCTAATGCCAGACAGTAAAACACAAGAGGCACAAAATAGAAGCATATAACAATTTAATGTGCTCTTTGATCCTCGAGCTGCTATATGCCTCACCTCAACCAGCACATTGCTGGTTCTCTCAGATGCATAGGGCAGTAGTTGATTTGGCCTTTCCTATAGTTCAGATTACACAGGCATATATAAAAATGCATCTGATAGTGATAATTTTCTAGGTTTTCTTGGAACCCCAAATTCAAATGAATTATGTTGTTCTCTCTCCATAAGTAACATCTTAGGTGGGCAATAGGAAATAAAGATTTCTTAGACAAAAGAAAAAAACAAACCCTTCTCTGTTTTAACAGGAGAGCAATGACAGTCTTTGCAAACTGTGTGTTCTTTATTAAAGTGAAGTACTTGCCCATTCAGAAGAGGAACAGCCTGAAAGCATGCATAACAGAAAATGGTGGAGTAATTAATTTTGTGCTTAATAACAAAGTAAGTTCCAGATTTATTTCTGAGATCTCTGAAGGAAAATACCAAATGTTGAAAGTATTATGGAGTTCTTCATATAGAGAAATATTTCTCTGTTCAATATTTCACTGGAAATATTCTGCTTATGCTTCCATTATGCTATCTCTATAGTACTGAAATGTCTCCTTAAAAATAAATAAAAAATAAAAGCAATATTCTCTCTCTCCAAAAGAACCAGGAAGGGTTTTTTCCTGTGTAACCAGGAAATAGAGCGTATAATTGAGACTATTATCCAAATGCACCTCGAACACTGGCAGCCACAGAGCATCACCCATCTCTCTAGGAAGCTTGTTCCAGTGTCTGTCCACCCTCACAGTGCAGAAATGTCTCATAATGCCCAGTCTGACCCTCCCTTGGTGCAGCTTTGTGCTGCTTCCAGGAGCAGAGCCCAGCACCTATCTCCCTCTGCATCCCCTCCTCAGGGAGCTACAGAGACAAATGAGGTCTTGGCCTCCTCCATGCTGGACAAAACCCAGATGTCCTCAGTTTCTCCTACCAGGACATGACTCTACTGTTGAAATTATGTGGATAGTTTTAACTTTCAGCATATATATGATTCCAATAAAGCACTGTAAGGACCCTTACAAAGCTACCAAAGCATGTTATGATTCTAAAGGACCCTAACCAGCTTTTTTACCATTCTCCCAAAGAGCTTTTGGTTTGTAACTAGTCAGCTGCTATAGAGCTTGCCCCGTTACTGGACCTCCTGTGTGCTCTAAAAGCTCTGCAGAACATTGGACACCTGGTCACCCTCAGTCTCTGTAGTTACTGCACAGTGATGGAAGTTACATACGAGAGCTGCTCTGGAAGTAATGTCTCCTGTATTATGCTGGCCCACAACATCAGAGACTGATGGTAGTACGGCAGTAGAGGCTGAACCTTTCCACCCATATTCCATTGCATTTGTTGCCATGTGACGGATGGCAGCAGGGGGCAGTCTGTCAGAATGGCATCTGACATGGAAGTGCAAAGGTGGGCCATTCAATTAATTGATGCTTGCTGAATGTTTCTGGAGAGCAAACAGTTGATGTGAGTACAGTGAGGTGGTGGGTGGTGCATTTCAGCAGTGGTGACAGCAACAGCAACAGCCTCTGCTGGTGCAGATTTTTACAAGAGCAGCATGTAAGCTCTTGTCCTCACTGACAAAAATGCGTATCTCATGATGGTGACTATGTTGAAAAACACGTTTTGTAGCTGAAAATTTGCTCTATCAAATAGTATCATTGTGCTTTTGGTATCTGCTGTAGTTTCCATAAAAATAAATAGGAGGCAATGCTTTCAAGGCAACTTACATATATTTTAGCTCATCTGAGCTGTCATCTGAAAGAATCCTCTCTGCTGACTGTGGAGGAAATGCAGAGGTATTGTGTCTCTAAATTAGATGTTTCAATTAAAATCCTGTCCAAGAATGTTGTGTTTTTAAATGTTCCCTTTAGACTGTAGGATTTTACCAGCATGAATTGCAAATAAACAATATTTGGATTAACACTAGTTTTGTGTGCATAACAATTCTAATTGTAACTTGTCTTTCAGTGTACACATGTTCTTGTGGATAATGCCAGTGTCCTCAGTCG